CCTGAAATGCTAGTATATAGCTCTGTAAGATATGCTCCAGATAATTCGGTGTCGCCCAGTGGCTTCGGGAATTCGGATTTGTGATGGCTTTATCCGTATTCTTTATTTCCAGGCATATATGATTTAACATATAGGATTAAAAAAATCATGTAAATTTTTCCATTAAAATGCTTTTACTTCACAGTGTATGTTTCACGCGAAATCTCGTTTTTTTTTTTAAGCAGGGCGAAACCCCCAAAAGGTAAGTTAATTTTACTAATGGAACTTGTCATTAGCATCTTTAAATTTTCATGGAAAAATCGACAGGTCAGAAAGCGATAGAAATACACTATTATAATTTGAAAAATAAACATTGAGATTTCGATTAATAAACATGTATGAAATAGTTAAATCTATTTACTAAAAAGCAATGAATTTTTATGAAGCGGAAATGCTTCAATCGAAATTTAATATAAAGTATTTTACTCTCTGCCAAAAGGATACATCATTTTAAGTACGGAAACTGGCTAAGAATATGTATAAGCTTGAGATCACTATCTATCTATCTATCTATCTATCTATCTATCTATCTATCTCTCTCTCTCTATATATATATATATAGAGAGAGAGAGAGATAGAGAGAATAAAATATATAGAGATATTATATAGATAATAAAAAATGGCTGGGATCAAAGCGTAGTAACTGTTATCTTCTTATTTTAAATGAAAGAAGGCGCCGATCCCGTGGATTCCAAACCTGCGACAGTACCTTCCTTCATTGCACTAAGAGAGGATGGGTCAGTGTACTATCCTTGCCAACATGACAGTTGTCGTGGGTACAGTACTTTGTTCGTACGCATATTCATGTATAGGGCTCCTCACCTTAAAATCTATCTATCTATCTATCTATCTATCTATATATATATATATATATATATATATATATATATATATATATAGAGAGAGAGAGAGAGAGAGAGAGAGGGGGGTAGAGATAGATAGAGATAGTTGAAGAGTTTATTTTGTTGTTTTTTTTTCAAATTGATCTGAATAAAAACAAAACAAACCCTGCAACTATCGCCTCTCTTTTCTTTCTTCCTTTATTTCTTATTCTTCGGGAAAAGAGGGTGTATCTTGTGTCTTTTTCTTTTCTTCCTTTTCTCACGAAAAGAGATTGTATCTTGTTTTTCAATCTCAATAAATTGTCTATTCACCAGTTATTTACTAACACCTGATGAGATGTGTTAATACGCATCGAAACATGATTGCATTTGTGTAGCGTTTTTCTTATGTTTTTGATGTAATTAATATCCTAATAAAGAATATTGTTCTACGTTTGTACTGAGCCCTCTTTTAAATTGAATGTTACGAACGTTGTAATTGGACTCTATTCGTTCTCATTTTACATATATATATATATATATATATATATATATATATATATATATAGTGAGAAAGAGAGACAGAGCGAGAGAGAGATGGATATATATAAACTGCGTCTAGAGATTATATGCAAAAGAGGTATTGTCAAATATTTTATGTAAAATTCATAGATATGTGTTATCCAATGAAACAATTTGTACTATTATGTATAGCGAGTAAGCATGAAAGCAATTAAGTCTTAATTTTCAATTTCAGATTGATATTTAGTATTTTTTCAGTAACTATAGCAATTTGCAGTGTCAAGAGATTATTTTCAAGAACTAGAATTTACTATTATGGCTCGTAAAAAAGAACTAACAATGAATGAAAAGAATTATATGATCAAAGAAATTAGAAAAGGAAAGTCTTCGCTTCAAATTTCTAAGGATTTGAAAAGGGATCATCGAACAATCAAGAAAATATGTCAACTGGGAATTCAACCAAGGAAAAAAAGTATCAGGCTGAATTCAGGAATTTAACAAAGCGAGATCTATCACATATCCGAAGAGAATTAATAAGAAACCCAAATGCGTCAGGTGCGTTCATATTTGAGGCCGCTGGAGCTCCTATGGTGTCAAGAGAATCAAGGTGTAAAGCATTAAGGGAGTTTGCTGATGTAAAAAAGCAAAAAAAGAAACCCATTTTAACAAAAAACATAAGGAAAGAAGATTGCAGTGGGCAAAAAATACATGAAAACTGATTTCAGTAAAGTGCTTTTTACAGACGAATCAAGGATCACCCTCGATGGGCCCGATAGATGGGCTTGAGGATGGGTTTACAAGCAACATGACACAAGAAAATTTTGTAAACGCCAACAAGGCGGCGGTGGGATCATGATATGGGCTGGGATTATTGGTAATGAGCTCGTGGGTCCATTTAAACTGAAAGACGGGGTTAAAATGAATTCCATAAGTTACTCTGATTTTCTAGAGCAATATTTCTTTGAATGGCTTGATAACCAGTCTTTAGCCAAGCGTAGATCTATGATCTTTATACAAGACAACGCACCAAGTCATGCATCAAAGTTTACTAAATCCTGATTGAAAGAAAAGGGATTTGTTGAAGATTCTCTTATGAACTGGCCTTCAAATAACTGTGCCTTGAATCACATTGAGAACCTGTGGAACATCCTCAAGAGAGATATTTATTCTAATGGAAGGCAATTCAACAGCAAGTGTGACCTCTGGGAGGCAGTTAAAGTTGCTGCAAACAACTTACCAGCGGCTAAAATTGCAAATCTAACATCAGATGTTGACAATAGGCTGCTAAGAGTTATTGAAAAGAAAGGAGCATTTGTGCAATACATTTTAGGAGGTTCTTATTATTTTTTGTTAATATATCTTTTATTTTTAAAATAAATTTTTTTTATGTTTTTCCTTTAAGAAATTGACGAATTTGTTCTAAAATCTTTTCATATTATTTTTTACATTAGTTTTACAAGGTATAATAATGTAAAAGTATCAAAATAAATGGTTGCAAATAAACTACTGACAGTCAAATTAGTCTGTTTTGTTAACTTAGTAAAAATTTTTCCAACCAAAAACAATAGTTTTCTCTATCACTATATATCTAAGTTAATAATATTGAGTAGAATCTAAACAACATCATAATAGGACTTTTAACATTAAAGACGCAACTCTTTATACCAATTCATAACTTTGCATATAATCTCTAGACGCAGTTTATAAGCCTGTTTCTATTTAAGTCTTTTTCTATTTATCTATGTTTCTATCTATGTCTTTTTCTATCTATCTATATTATCTGTCTATGTATCAATACGCAGTGTGCGATGGGTAAATTGTCGACATTTTATATTTTTAATTTCGCGCGTGCGCATTGTTTGTTTTTGATTTTGTCGACTGCACAATAGAGTAGGGTCAGTTGAGCATTGTCTGTGAGAAAAAGAGCACCATGACAAAATTCACTCCGTCAGAAATTTGGAAACTGCATGCTGTACTGCTAGGCATTTGCCCTTGAAGCTCCAATACGAACATTTCAAAGTGTTTGGGTGTCAATCTGAGGGTTGTGTAGAGGATTTGGAAAGAGCTGGATGAGTCTAATAGTGATTACGAAGTTACGGCACCTTGGAAAATTCGCTGTAATCGTTCCCATAGGAAAAGAACTCACGAATTTGTTGGTGAGATCCAGGCTATGATTGGCAACGATGCCTCCAAGTCAATCAGGTCCATAGCGTGGGAGGTAGTGCTGCTCTAGGTTAAGAGGTTGTCTGCTGGAAGACCCTATGTCTGGCAGCAGGACACTGCACCATTCCACACAAAAAGGAGAATCCAATCAGACAATTTCTGCAACAACATCACGCCTTACATCTGGCCATCTAACTACCCAGACTGCAATCCCCCTGATTATTATGTGTGGGTCGCAGTTGAACGAGAGACCAAAAAAACTCCTTATAACACCAAAGATGAACTGTAGTAAGGATTATGGCAGCATTCACCAATTTAAACAAGGAGACAGCCCAAAAGAGTTGCAGGAGATTCCGAAGTCGTCTGGAGGTTGTGGTTGGAGCCAATGGCGCTTTTATTGAATAAATTTTCCCTTTAGTATTTAAAGATATTTTTGTATAATTTGAGATGTCAGTGTTATTTTATTTTTTGCGTAATTTAGTCGACAATTCATCCATCACGCCCTGTTGTGTATATATATATATATATATATATATATATATATATATATATATATATATATATATATATATATATATATCAGTCTGTTCATATCTATCTATCTGTCTATCAATCTATCTATCCCAGTGTCATCCTTTAGCAAACTGTACTGATTTGATTTTTTTGCAAAAGGAATGGAAGATTTCATACAACATAGCAGATGGCAAATAACCATAGCAACCAGAAATTGCAACCAAACAATAAAAAAACGATTGATCGAAAAAAGTAAAGCATTAAACTGGTCACATCAAAGCAAAATAATACAAAAATAAAGACGAAAAAAAAAAGAAGAAAAAAAGAAGAAAAAACAAACTACACTTAAATGTATCGGAGGACATTTTTAGTGCAAGTCAGAGTAGTTATTTAAAGAATCAGTCACAGACATTTACAATCCGTGGTAATCACAGGGTAAAAGTAATTGCAGATCAGAAGATATTATTCACGTAAATATATATACCAGATATCGGAAATTTCCTGGCCTGGACTTGCTGTGAGTTCAATGGTGATGCGTATGCCGCTAACATCCATTGGTACCATTGGCATCACACCTCGGGTTCTATTATTCTACGATGGTTTGTAATGACTGTGTTGGAACGGCTCTGCGATCATTATAATGGCTGTTAAATATTCTCTTTCAAAACTTGTGTAAAACTCGACATATTCTTTTAGGCCAAATTAAGTTTTCTTTTTATTGAAACGGGACCTTATAAAAAAATTAACTTCTTACGTTCATGACTTACTAAACGATAATAATGATTTACTGATGCAAGTCCATAGGAGGGAGAAGAGATGGATTCATACCTTTAGCAAGGTTAACTGAATAAATGACTACAACGAACACGGCTAGAATTAGAACTCGGCTCTCCGATTTCCAATTCCGTGTTGTTATCCATTACATCAGCCGCATATCCAAGTTTACAGCACCTGGTATTCCCAAGCGGTCACCCATCAAGGTATTGACCAAGTTCAACGTTGCTTAACTTCGGTGACTGTACGAGAATGGTTATTCAACGGTGATGTGGCGGTAAACCTAAGACGAATATAAGTAAATAATATCAAAATACTATATAGATACTGCAAAAATATACGAAGAATTCTAGGATTGATCATATACCTGGCGCAAGATCGTTTTTAAGGTGAGGGGCCCATATACATGAATATGCGTACTGATAAAGTACTGTCCTCAGGACAACTGTCATGTTGGCAACGATAGTACACTGACCCATCCTCTCTTAATGCAATGGAGGAAGGTACTGTCGCAGGTTTGGAATCAACGGGATCTGGCGCCTTCTCTCATCTAAAATAAGGAGATAACAGATACTACGCTTGATCCCAGCCAAAATTCATTTTATTTACCTGATCTTCCCACTAACTAGGATATGACATAAGGTTTATTTTTTACGAGGGATCCCCATGCCCATACATATGCATATAGACCAAGGACATAAATTAACCAATCTCGGTGACCATTGTCATGTTGGTATCAATATTCCACCGACACCGCATCTCTTAGTGCAATTAGGAAGGTACCGCCGCAGAGTTGGAATCCCCGGGGCAGGATGCCTTCTCTTATCTAAAATAAAGAGATAACAGTGAGTACACTTAGTATTTACTTGCCGCCCCACGCTAGTAGGATGTGACACAAGGTCAGTTTAATGCGGGAAGCCCGAACGTGTGCACCTGAGCTGGGTCCCTAAATAGCCCAGTCCCTGCAATTGTTGGTTGCGCTGGTATTACTATCGATCCTCGTCTTTAGTGAAATGAGGGAGGTATTTCACGGGCAGCTGTTCCCCGGGACCGGGAACCTCTCATTAATATTTTCACTTGTGCCCTGGCCAAAGATTGAAAGTTCTTCCGCTTGAGGACAGACACTACACTTTGATCCCAGCCAAATGGCCTAACACTCATTAAAGAAAATATATCTCACCACAGGAGCTGATATTTTGAACAAAGACCTTGAAATAGAAATCTCAAAAATGTGGTACATGGGAACATCAACAATTCCTGTTGTAGTTGGAGCCCTAGGATTGGTTGGAAAAGAATCCAGTAGACTAATTGAAGGGATTTCTGGAAGTCCATGCCTCAAAGAGATACAAAAAATTGTTCTCACAAGTACAGCCCACACTTTACGAAGGGATTTATCTATGTAATTTTTTTTTTTTTTTGTCAGTGGAAAGTGTCATGATACCATTTCTAACCTTAGGTCCCTGGACGGGACCCGGAAAGAAATGTGTAAACGCCAGAAATCAAAGGAAATAATAATAATAATAATAATAATAATAATAATAATAATAAAATATTTTGTTTTCCATACCCAAGCCTGCCTTCCTTGATCTTCGTGATAATTTTTTGAGTTTCCGAAAAACGGAAATGCTGTTATATGTTTCTTCTATTCCTTTCAGTCAATAATTTACATTGATTTCATTTTTAAGTTCTATTCCAAATCTTTTCACCCCCAAGCAAGGCGATAATGCCACTAAGACGCAAGAGGTTACTGAAATTGAATGAGACGGTTTGAGTGAAGAGAAAGGACAGTAAAAGGACAGAGAAACAGATGACGGTGAATCCCATTGCATTTAAATTTTTGGAGATTTTTGGTGCAGGGAAGTTAGAGACCGAATGCAACTCCCACAGTCGAGAAAGGCAAGAAAAGAAACTATTAGGATTGAACTTACGCTGACATGTAACTATTTCAACAGTAAAACGATGAGATCGAGTTGCCAATCTAGTCAATTCAAATGCCAATGTAAAATACACATTTATAACGGAAAATAATTCAAAATCCTTGGAGAAGGTAATTCAGTAACTTAAAATTCCTAGAAGAAGAAAGAAGAAAAAGAAGAAAGAGGAGGAGGAAAAGACAAAGAAGCAGAAAAAGAACAATAACAAGGAGAAGAAGTAGAAGATGAGGACGAGGAAGAGGGAAAAGAAGATGAGTACGAAGAAGAAGAAGAAAACGAAGAAGAGGAAAAGAAAAGGAAAAAGTAGAATAGTAGTAACAGAAGAAGGGGAAGACGAAGAAGAAGAAGAGAAAAAAGGAAAGGAATTAGCGGTAGTAATAATAATAATAATAGAAGAAGAAGAAGGGGGAAAAGAAGGAGGAGAAAAAGACGAATAAGGAGTAGAATAAAAACAAGAACAGCAAAAAGAAGGGGAGGAAGAAGAAGATGAGGACGAAGAAAAGAAAGAACAAGGGGAAGAGGAAGAGGAAAAAATGAAGAGGAAAAAAGAAGCAAAAGAAGAGGAATATGAAAAAGAATAGGAAGAAGAACGACGAAGTGGGGGGGTAGAAGCAAAGGAAAAATGTACTATTAATAGTAATAGTAGGAGGAGTAGTAGAAGAAGAAAAGGAAGAGGAAGAAGAACAGGAGGAAAAACAAGAAGAAAAGGAATTATTATTAGTAGTAGTATAAAAAGAAGAAATAGAAGAAAGAAAGAAGACGAAAGAAGAAGAAAAAGACGAAAGAAGAAAAATAGAAGAAGAAAAAAGACGAAAGTAGAAGAAGAAAAATAAGAAGAAAGAAGACGACGAAAGGAGCTAAAAAAGAAGAAAAAGAAGAAGAAAAAAGAAGAAAAAAGTAGAAAAAGAAGAATAAGAAAGAAGAAGACGAAAGAAGAAAAGTGTTTTGCGAAATATACACGTTATAATTCTATAAAATTATTTTTACATTTTCAAGGCAGTCATATAATATTTCACTTGTTTATTTAAACAAGGCTCCCTTTTTTTCGTAATGTGTGATTCTTTTTTAACAGCCAATCTGTGTCCGCCCAGTCGATGATGAAGAAACAGTGAACATTACATTTTTATTTACACAGATCTTTATTTGACAGATGTTTGAAACATTCAAATGTTCCAGTGCACATATGTAGACATGATACAACACCACGTCCGACACAACTAACAAATTCAGATTTATTTACGATATATAACAGCATCAATCGATATATAAATCTTTATTTGAAAACAAACAATTTTATGACATGTGAAAAAAATCTTTCACAGGACGCCGTCCTTATAATTTTTTGATCAAATTATTAATTTCAAAAGGAACAGTTTTGAAGACGACGGAAAATATGCCAAAAATAATGCAAAGTTGCATTGAAAGATGCCGCTAAGAAACTAAGCAAGAATATTTCGTTAAAAACAAATAAAAAAAAATACTGAATTCCTAGTAATATTTGTCTTCTTCACGGCCATGAAGGTAGGAAAATTTCCACGGAGAGGTGGAAAAGACTTGAGGCAAAAAGAGGTGTTATTCTACAGAAGGCTGCTGAGAATATCAGGGCGGGTCGTGTAAACAACGGGGAAAATTTAAGAAAAATGAAAACAGAGAAAGACGTTGAATCAGAAAGAGACAGATGAAATTTGTCGGACACATAGCGAGGAAAGATGGTTTGGAGAATTTGGCACTCACAGTTAATATTGAAGGAATAACAGAGGAAAAGAGAGACTAATGTCCCTAAAGAGTTAGTGTAAATAGCTGACAAAACATGAACACGTACGGATAGTAAGAAGCGAAACGATGCTTAGTGTTACAACTGAAGTTGCAAAGAGCCGTGATCTTTCACATCCTGCAGTGAAATGGTACATGAAAAAAAGCTGTAACAGTTATTTACTAAAGCTGCCATAATCTAGAACAGCGTATCCAATCAGAAGATACTTAGTGAGAATTAAACTTTAAACATTTTAAAATTAGAACATAAGATATGCTCTCTCGGTATCATGCTACGTTTGGCGCCTTATTCAGTTCTTTGTGATTTCATGAATGAATAGCTGAATTCCTTTTGTTGATTACCGAGGTTTTTCCAAATTAACGCACAATGTCTATTCAGACATTTTCCTGAAAATTACTGATTCAGATTTTTGGTAAATAATTTTGGCAATTTTCGTAGTCAGAATTCAACAATGAAATTATAGAGAAGTTTGGTCTACATAGAAAGAATATATGAATAATTCGCAATCTGTGTATCGAAAGAACGACTTGTATACGAATGAATTAAGTGGGTAAAAAAGAAAGAAGAATGTGACCTAGAAGAATTTTCTCACCGGGTATATTTATCTTGCAGTGTAAGATGACTCTAAGAAAATGGGGGTAATATGTCAGAATTTAATATCTGCGAAACTAATCCACCGATATTAAATCCTGACACTGGTTTTATGGAATATTAAAAAGGAAAACAAAAAGATCTCTTAGACCAGTGGTTCCCAATTTGGGGCCATGATCCACTTTGGTATTTCTAAAATTCTGGTGCCCCCCCTCTGTAATATTTGATTCTTACATATTCGAAATTTTACTGCAATTCACGTGAAAAAAAAAGCTTACAGTGCCATTAACTTGGTCTCTAAACAAGCCTCCAAATACCATGGCGCCCATGAAAGAGAAAAATTAAAAAAAAAAAACAAACAAAAAAGACAGTTAAATATATATAGTTTCAAAATATATAATAAAGAACTGAAAGGCAGAAATATAAAATATTTGAATGAAATGTTATTCTGTAATATACTTTGATCATTTTAATCATGAAATTATAATGCAAACTGGAATTTCAGCTCAAGTTGATATAGTAAACCAAAGGGTGCACATCCTACGCATGCCCCACCAAAATATTACCATGTCCCACGGGTGGGGCATGCACCCCAAGTTGGGAATCATTTTCTTAGACAATATTGTCAATGGAAGCAACAAGAAAAACCGAAACATTAATTGTATGAAGAGATCATTTATAATAGTGTGAGAAAAAGGGGCAACTAAAGATATTGGTTACACAATGCGAACGTCAAGATTCAATTTTCTTGACTGTGGATTCAAAGACGCTTAGAAATAGCGAAAGATGATTTTCAGAAACTAAGTAAGGTATTAAAGGATTGAAAAATAACATTAGAAGCTAAGAAAATAGTAATGCCCTGCCTTTTAATGGAGATATAGCCTTACCATCTTTGGTTTTAATTTTAGCATCGGTATATGCTTGGATGTAGCGATGATATTTCTACATTCGTAAAAGTGTTAAGTTATATATCTTCC